ACCCTAATAAATTTAATATATATAAAAATATATAAATTCAGATGGAAACAATGAGATACTATTTTTATGCTAATTCACTTCAGTGAAATCGGTTTTCCCCATACACTTCTGGGGTGAGTTAACTTGCCTTGAAACATTTTTTGGGAAGCAATTCAATGGGAGAGATTACCCCAAAATATTCAAATAGATTGAGCCAGTATTTTCGCTACTAGAAATCAATCCCCCAAAAATCTAAAATACAGGAGGAAATATGCTACAAAAAAAGATAAGTGCTGTACCATCTCTAACAGCAAAAACAATTCGAAAGTACCCAAATGCCCAACAGAATATGATTAACAAAATTATGCAACACACATTCATAAAGTTATTATGTATTTTAAAATGTCACTTACAAAACTTTTCTAGGAACATGGACAAATACTTGCTACAATATTAAGTAGAAAATGCAATGTTTAAATTGGTACATAATATAACATTTATGCTTCATTTGTTAAAAATAGCATGCAATGAACAGATTGGAAGGAAATACATTACTATGTTCAACAGTGAAAATCTTTGGGTGGCAACAATATTTCTTTTCTTTTTTTCTCTGTTTTTTTCAAGTTGTCTACAACATGTCTGCAGAGTATAAGACAGCCTAATTTTCATGGGCCTGGACTCAGACCTCGGGCTCTGCCTCTTAACAGCTGTGTAACCTCAGAACATAACTCCAAGGCTGTTTCTCTTCTGAAAAATTGGGATACTAATATCATTCACTTCACACGGCTGTTGTGAAGATCAAATGAGTTAATGTATGTAATATCCCTAGCAACATACACCTCAGCTTTACCCATGCTAGGAAAAAAAATAACCGACAAAAATTAAACATTCAGAGAGTTAGTACACATCATCATTTCCACTCAATAATTAGAAGTGATAACATGATTTATAGGAAATAACTGATGTAATAGAGAAAAATAGATAATGTTGTTTTTTAATATTTACAACTTGTATTCTCTTTTAAAACACCATAATTTTATACCAACCCATCAAATGTTATTTTGGAATTTGAGAAATTGATAAGAGATGGGCTATGTTCAAATGACACATTTTTTATATAAACGCAGTGAGTGGCAACATAATGTAACAACGCATAAATGTATAACAAGAAAAAGTGAAAGATCTGTCCATCCCACACAGTAGATGACGATATCAGGTTTCACATTTGGCCTTAGAGCTCATTTTAATATACCTTTGAACTTCTAAGATATAGCCTTTTTTTAATTTATTTTTTTAGTACTTTTTAAAATTAATTACTTTATTTTTTCAAATACATCCGTCTCTGCCCTCCCCCTACCTCTCCCACCCCCCTCCCTCCCTCAACTCTTCCCCTTTGGTTTTGTCCATGAGTCCTTGCTACATGTTCCTTGACTTTCTCCTTCCCTTCCTTTTCCCCCGCCCCCCCTCCCTCCTTCCCTCTTGTCTCTGTTGGTTTCTTTTCCTTTCAGTGTTGCTGGTCTTATTTTCCTTGCATCTTCGTATTGATGAAGCCTTACTTCCAAGATATACACAACTGTGTAAGTCAACATCTTTTCCCCTTTTTCCCAGAAATTATAGGGGAAATGAGAATGAAAAAGAAAACACAAATACTTTCTTCTACTAAATTAGGAGACAAAAATAACATCCAGATAAGGGCTGTAAAGAGCAGGTGAGATGAGGAAGAAGTTGTGCAGGAGAAAGCCCAAAAATTATGTACTTGGGGTGGTCCAGAGAGCTGGGGCAGGTATTAGGCAGTGGAAGGCCCACCTAAAGTCAAAGGTGAGCCTTCCCAGCAATGTTGACTGCTGCAGGAACAAGGGCTAGAAGCAAAAGTTCACCTGCCTGGTTTAGAGAGGCAAGGGAAGTAGCATCACCCAGAACAAAATCATCTGTAGGCACCACTTTCTCTGCAGCAGCAGAGAAGATCCTTGAGCTGGAAGCATAGCCCTTCCTACCACACCTCCCATAGGAAGTGCTTGCACAGATCTGTCTTGTCTCCTTCCAGTGGTGAAAAATAAAAAGAAAGCTGACACACAGTATCCAAAATAGGTATAATAAGAAAAAAATGAAGGAAAAAGCCAAAAAACTATAAAAAGATGAATGACACTAAAAATGTTATCAAGGAATGCATGAAAATTATCATCCAATATTTCTGAATTAAAAATTCAGAAATAAATGAATTAAAAATTACTATGAAGCCATCATCTCCATGAAGGAAGAAAACAAAGCAGAAATTTTCAAGAGTGAGATGATAGGACAACATGAAGAGATACAATATGACAAATTCAGGGAAGTAGAGGAAAAAAAATCACAGAAGTTAAGATAAAATTGGTGGAAACTCATTGAAGAAAATAGACTGTGGCACTCACTGTAAGAAACTAGAGAAGGTGAGCACAAACAGAAATAAAGTATTTTAAAATATTAGAGGAAAAAGGATAGACACAGGAGACAGAAGAGACCTATTATATTTCATACGTAAAATGAGTCGCTGAAGAAAACCAGCCTGGTACCATGGGCCTGAGTCTTAATCTTCCCTCTGCTATTTACTGCTCTGTGAATTAGAAAGTTTCTTGGCCGCTTTCTGTTTCGCTTTTCCCATCACTAAAATGAGGATACTAATAGTCCCTATCCCTTAGGCTATGATGAAGATTAAGTGAGTTAAAATTTGATGATGCTGGAACAGTGCCTGGCATATATCAAGCAATGTCTGTTTGTTAAATTTTAAAATAATAATAATAAAAATAAAACAATGTAACAGAGACATAAAGTACAATGGTGGATGCCAGGGGCTGGAGGAGAAAAGAATGGGGATATGCTGTTTAATAGATAGAGTTTCAGTTTTGCAAGATGAAACGACTTCTAGAGGTTGTTTGCACAATACTGTGAATGTACTTCACACTACTGAACTGTACACCTAAAAATGGTTAAGACGGTCAATTTTATGTTACATATCTTTCACTCTAATTTTTAAAACTATTATTTATCTTAACTCCTGAGTTTCTTTTTGCATTGCTGTAGTGCATGGGATGATGGTTGGTTATACTCTGAAAGCCAGTAATAGGAGATTTCATTAAATTGCCAGGTGATTTCTCTGAGCATGATCTTCCAGCCCTTCACTCCATAGTCTCACTTTTCTGTATAATAGTTGGCAAATTACCTCCTGAGGGGGTACCTTCCCTCCCCAAACTGGAGAGGAACCTGAGGAAACTGACACTGAAAAATGCTTGAAACAGATCATAGGGACATGGGGAGAGGAAATCCATCAGGAAAAGACTGAAGATCTGTCTCTGAAGCTCCAGATGAGGTTGGAAACCGCAAATTTTCCGACAAAATAGTCAAGGATTTCTGGGCAGTTTTTGAGTGGGAAAGGTCAACTTTGAAATGTTTACATTTCTGGGACATTGTGATGGATAGAGGAGACAAGATCACTTATTTAAAATCTGGGACACTCTCATCATATTCAGAACATGTGATCACTGAACAGCAGACTGTGCTCTGAGCATTTTATTCTAGGAAAAATGTTTTTATATCTAATTTAATTTGTATGCTTCAAAGGGTTGGAAGATGGTACTTACTGAAAATGTAATCTATGCAGCCAGATGTGTTTCCCTTCTAAACTAACTTCCCAAGGAATACATATAGGCCAAAATTAAACCCCATTTACAGTAGTTGGCATGGCTTGGGGAGCTGGTGACATCTCACATTCTTTACCTATTGCCCACTAGGCTTAACCTTGTAAATTACTTTCAATAGGCATGGCATACTTCCTGAATTTTTTTTCTTAGATTAGCATCAACCTTGCTTATCAATTGATATTTTCTCAATTTCTTGGAGACCTTTAATTCACCATCAGAGCAAAGGTGTCAGCTATTACCTAAAGTACTGCCCACCAAGAGTTCCATTGAGACCTCTCCCCTGCCCTGCTCTGGAGCACTAAGAATCTGAATTCACGAAGTGTGTCTCTGATACACACTTTATGACTCCATCCCCTGCCTTCATCTCCACCTGACCACCTGGCTGCCCCCTGCTTTCCCCACTTGACCCAGCTGCCTCCTGCTCAGTCCCAGAGCCCTTCCCCAGGAGCCTCTGCAACACTATTACATAAAAGGAAACCTGTAAGCAGCTTCATCTTGTAGCTTCTCCCACATCCCCAAAGAGTTGTTCTTGCCTCACACTGAAGCTAGAAATCCTTCTGTTGATTACGAAAAGTGAGCAGGAGGGTGGAGGTGGATGGGCTTTCTCAGATGTCTAACGGGCATCTGTGTGAGATGCCCACTAGACCCCTTTGTCATCTCACACAGGAACGGGAGCTTCCTTCCTGCTTCTCTCAGTGGTGTGTACTCAGTGCCTGGCACTTGGCAGCTTCACCAGTCCAAAGAAACACTCACCTCTCGGCTCTCTGAGTAACTGTCCAGTGCTGTTTTTCTAAACCACTACCCTATTTTTCACTGACTTTGTGATATCAGTTTCTATGCCTTTTAAACTCTGATCACATTCATTGAATGAAAGGGGAGGTTCATTTAGCCTCTGCAGGGGTTCCTGTGCGCCTTGGCCCCCAGCAACAGGCAGCTTAATCCCACACGTGCATCATCTACAAGCACTGCTGTCACTGCTGTGCAGGGCAGCAGAAAACCCAGAGAACTGTAGGCATCCTCACTACAGCACCCTGCGGAGCTGGGCAGCAGAGCACTCCGCCTTGCCAAGCCAAGAACTACGTCCTGCACTGACAGGCCCTGGGACCACATCTCCAGAAGGTTCCCAAGTTTGTAAACACACTGATCACTTGGGTCACTTCCCTGGGTGATGAGTTATGACTGGTTGCTAAACTGAAAAATGCACTATTAAGATCCATGAACTCTACCTCATACAACATTAATAATACAAGACACAGTTAGTCCCTACCTAGTGCTTTATTTCCAAGGATACGAGATCATCTGAAATTAAGATACAAAACACACTTGTTTATTTTTGATTCCAGGTACCTGGAGGGAGTTTTCCTTTCAGTTTCCTTGAATTCCAAGTCACTACACTGTCACCATCTTTTAGGGGGAATGCAGGAAATTCCACACACTCTGTTCTCTCTGCAAACGCATGGAATCTGAAACATGAAGCAATTTGCAACATTAGGCTGGAAGGTGGTATTTGCCCATGCCTATTCAGTCCCCCAAGACTGTGAACTTGCTCTTTCACGCTGATTTCCATGTACTTTGTTCCTACAGACGAGAGACAGAGAGAAGGGAAAAAACAGAGAACTGTACATGTGCTGGGGTTTTAACTGATGACTCTTCTCTTTATTATAGAGTAATAGTTCAGCCAAATGGCATTTCTTCCCTGGAAAAATGATACCCTGTGTTATATTCATGCTTTGTTCTAGAGTTCAGTCATGGCGGCCCAGTTTTGACAAGCCAGGTCTAATGTGACCCCACAGTGCCCAGAGTCCTGCAGTCAGAGAGCAGGCGACTACAGGCATCGGGGCTCACCTGCTCATGGCCGACAGGCTGCAGTTGCTTTAACTCAGCAAATACACACTTCCCCAGGACCTACATGTAGTATGAATGGAAAGACTTCATGTATGGACGGGTCTGTGGGGACCGACTCCTCCAAGTGTGGCCCCAGGAGCAGCAGCAGCACCTGGGAGCTGCTTAGGGTACACGCTCCCTCACCCATCCAGATGCTGAGTCCAAATCGGCACTTGAACAAGCTCCGCAAGGGGGCTCAATGTGCACCTTAAAAGCTCAAGGAGCACTGGTGTAGTGAATGGGTGATGGATTAAGTCACACCTGAAGCCACTTATCCAGAATTCAAACAGTCAGAAATCATGGGAAATTTCTTTCAGATGGGCTGAGGAGAGCTCTGAGTAATGCTCCCCTTTCCCCTTAGGGGTGGCGTGTGGCTACTCAACCCAAAGAGAATCCTGAAGCACAGGTGAGGGTGGATGGATGGGTAGATGGGCCAATAGTGGGAGAGGCGTGGGCCTCAGCTGGGCTATGGAAAGCCTCAGTCCTGCCTATTTCTAAAGAGTTTCAGGTGACATTAGGATGATGACTTGATGGCAGGGAACAAGTCAACCTTGTCCAATGACCCCTAATGAGGCTGATGGACTCCATCTGCTTGTGCTTGCCTCCCGCTGGGACCTCCTCCAGAGCAGAAATGGACAGCTTCCTAGCAGGGAAGAGAAGAGATGCTGAGGCTATTCCTGGCTGGCCCCACACACTGAGTGCCAAGGCCTTTGGTGCCCAAGACTTTCTACTCTCTGACATATTCTCCAGATTGGAGAAGAGAACAGGGCAGACACTCCCTCTGGTTAACACAGCCCTTCTAGTGCACAAAGCAAATCACCATTATGCAAATCATCTTGGGCTCTTTGGAGAGCCTGCAGAGTACAGCACTGCACCTCAGGGCTCTTGGCTCTGTCCAGACACAGCTTTGGGCATGGGGTAGGCAGACTCTAGGCTCCCTGCAAGCTGAGATACTAAGGACATGCCCTTACAATTGGATAATCACTGTATTTTAGCTGAGGCCCAAGAGCCACAGTGCAGAGAGCCCAACTAGGAACCCCAGGGGGTTGGTGCAGTGAGGAGGAGCACCACTGGCTGTGGGTGCGCTCACTTTCGGGGGCAAGAGCTGGGACAGGAGGCCTGTCTACACTTCATCCTCTTCTACAGAACTCCACAGTGCATGGCCTAAAAATCTGGAGCTGAAGTGCAGTGGTGAATTGTTAAAATTTAAAGTGCGAAAGGTTAGGTGAACTCCCTGTTAAATTACTACCTGGCCTCTCACCCACCCAGAAGAAATGCCCACAGGAGCAGAGAAGAGGACAAGCAAGAAAGGTGGCTCTGCCAGTTGCTTTTATCTGTCTCCTATAGCAAAAGTGGGGCAGTGAGCCCTTTCTGTACTTTGGGGGCTCAGAAACTCAGAATGGTAGCCAATTACCTGATGTTAGGAGACTTTAAATTGTTTTAAGAGCAACCAGAGCCGCATTCCTCACAATCACTAGGGGTCCTGTGAAAAATGATGCCCCTGGCTCTCCCTAGATCCTGACAGTATCTCTGGGGCTGTGGCCAAGACATCTGCATTTTAATCAAGCTCCCTTAATAGTCTAGAGTAGCCATGGCCCTCTCTTATGCAAATGAAGTACTAAATGCATATTCCCAGGTTCCCTTATATTATGTGAAATCAGCTTGCAAGGTGAAGCTCAGACATCCAAATGATTAACAAATTCCCCACATAAATATGATGAGCAACTCGATTTGAGAACAAATACTCAAGAGCAGTTATTGCATTCATTTCAGACAGGCTAACTTAGGAAAGGACCCAGTCACTCTTGTAACCACATAAACATCTGGCCTTTCTCCACAAGGGGCTTGAACTCACACACACACAGACAGGGCAGTGGGGTATGTTTTAAAATGTACATTTCATTATTATTCAGATATGCTGAGGCTGACAGATCAGTTCAACTGCAACTGAAAAGATAGTTTAGTACTTACAGTTCCTGCTATTAACTGAATTGTGTCTACCCTTCAACTGTCATATGTTGAAGCCTTAACCCCTAAAGTGATTTGTAGTAAGCAAAGCAAGAATGATGACCAGGTATGGAAGGTCATCAGGGCAGAAAACCCTAGGTGCCTAGCAATGGGAAAAACTGGGATAACCAGGACCTCGCCACCACCAGCACTCCTCCTCCCCCACCACAGGGAACCTTTCCTTCCCTAGCATATCGCTGGTTATGCAGTTGAGACCTCCTGACCTTTCATGTCACTGGTCACGAGGTTCATCCTGGACTTTTCCTCCCTTGTAATGTTGATAGTCATACAGGTTAGATGCATCCCCCCTTAGAGGAAGAACAAACAAGGAGGCTGGAGATTAGCCCTGAAGCATTAAGTCCCCAGAATAATGAGATTCTGACCCATATCAAGTACATCTAGGCCTCAGTTGTGTTTCAGATCCAGGCCCAGAAAATCAGCAAAATTAGACAAGCAATGCCACGACTGACAGCAGGACCAGCTGCATTGATGAATGGTCACCCGCCCTGGTGTCAACAATTCACTGGAGACCTGGACCCTGAAAGAACACACCTGGAAAGCTGATGAATATTCTATTGGATCTTCCCCTGAGACCAGCCCTAAGATTCCTGCCTGCAAGAGAGAGATAAAAACCCTCAAGGCAGCCCTGACCAGTGTGGTTCAGCTGGTTGGACATCTTCCTGCAAAGCAAAAGGTTGCAGGTTTGGTCCCCAGTCAGAGTGAGTATGGATTGATGGTTTTCTTCCCCTTTCTCCCTCCCTTCCCCTCTCTTTAAATAAACAAATAAAAACCCTCAAGACAACAGACCCACTGGGGAGCCTGCCCATACCTTTCCTTTTCTCCCCTTCTTCCCCCACAGATATGTATCTCCTAAACTCTAAGGGTCCCTGAAACCTACAACCAGGGGAGCAATGGGCAGCAGCAACACATGCCCATCTGACCCCTTGGAATCTGTCTCCCAGGCCTCTTTTTCTCCAGCTTCCCAGTAAGCTAAAGTAGCCCTGTCATGGCTCACTTCTTTCTTATAATGTCTCTAGAGAGCAAATGCAGCCCTACCAGGTCTCTCCCATTGCTTCTTCTATTCTAAACCCTTCCTTGTTCACTGTCCCCAGCTTTAATAAACATATCCTCAAAGTCACCTAAACTCATGTTGTGAAATCTTTCCTGCATGAAGTCAAGAACCCACACACTACAGCTGGCCCTATGCAGACCCACTCAGGACCAGGTCCCTATCCAGGAACAAAACAAGATCCTAAGGGTGGGTCCTGATCCTATAGCATTAGTAATCCCTTTAAAAAACACATTCCAGAGTGATTGCATGTTCTTGATTCCCCCACTTTCTCTCTCTCTACCTTCTATAAAAGGACAGAGCAAGAAAGCAACAACCCAGAAAAGAGCTCTCACCAGAAAATAAGTTAGCAGGCACTTTGACCTTGGACTTCCAGCCTCCAGAGCTGTGAGGAAGACATTTCTGTTGTTTCAGACCCCCAGTCTATGCTACTTTGTTATGGCAGCCAGAGCTGACTAATACAGTGCCCAAGAGGAGGGGCCATACCACCCCACACAGGGCCACACAGGGAAGTACCAGGGCCAGTCAGGAGGCAGAGGAAACAAGGGGAAAACATGGGCAAGAGTCGTATTGCGGAGTGGGTAAGGCAGAGTAAGCAAGTTTAGGATTAGCTAAATTTGAATAATTGCAGCGAGTTCTGAGGTAGTTTTCTGGCATCTGGCTCTGGGGTGAGAGGGGTCCTGGGGATAAGCACTGGGCTCTGTATCAGGTAGTTTGCACAGGAAGGCTGCACTCCCAGGGGAGTCATTCACTATCTCTAGGAATTAGCTTGCCCTAGGAGGGGCAGTCTTTGCAAGGTCAGCAAGGTCCCACGATGTGCAAGCATCCAAATCACAGAAAATAAGGCGGCAAGATGAATACAGGGCAGACAGGAAAAAGTACAGGGAGGCTAAAGATTGTTAGAAAGGTGGGACAAACACAGCCACAGACTGGTTAGGACCACGAAGAACTGAAAACCCACTGCTGATCTTGTGGAAGCAGGCAGCTCAGTAGGAGTCCCTCAGAGCATGTTTGTGCCTACCTGCTGTGGGTGTTGGCACTTAGATTCTTTAAGAAAGCTATAGTGTCTTCTCCTCTGGCATTGAAGGACACGGTGCAGACAGGACATGGGATCTCCAAAGCCCTCTGGAGGAGAAGCTGCTTGGATTCCTCAGGAATATCCCCCACCACAAAGTAGTAAATGGATTCAATCTGCAAAACAGTAGTACCAGCAATTTACCTCCTGACATGCCCTAGCCTTGTCCTGGACTCCTTGGCAATACACTTTCTATAAGACAGCATTTTTTTTAAAAAAGTGGTGGTGAGAGGGAGGAGCAGAAAGGATAGCAACACTGCTCAATGTTTTGTGAGGACATTTGGGAACCAAGGTCAGGAAGTGAGGTATTCAAGGCCTGGTGCCAAGGAGGTCTGTTGGTGGTGGTCTAATGGTCATAGTCTCAGGTAGTACAGGGAAGGATATAGTTGGCAGATTTGAAGAAGAGCTTCCTCTGAGCCTATGAGTACATCATACTGGTCAGGAGCAGCTGTTTTCAATATGAAGACACACAGCCACCATGGGAAGGAAGCTTATTAGACATTCCCTATGGTGGAGCCAGAATTCTATAATCCAACTCCACCATCCTCGGTCTGAGGAAGAATGTGGCAGGAGGACACATTCCCAGTTGGTTCATTCTCTGGTCTCATGTCACAGGGAAGCAAATGCCTGGGGAGGTGAGGCTGTCCTGACTTCACACAGAAGGTTAAGAGCCAGGTCCACCCATAGGGCCTTGTCTCTTGCCACCATTCCAGGCCATGACAGGAATGAGAGAATGAACAACCCCTGCGTCAGAATACACACACACACACACACACACACACTCACACACAACCTTCAATCAGGGATCTGAAAGATGCATACCTCACCAGGTAGGAGGCAATCCCACAAAGCTCCCTGATTGATTTAGAGTAATGCCAACCCCCCACCCTCCCTACCAAGGGCCCCAAAGACAACAGTCCTATGGCAGCCACAACACCCTTGCTCGAATTTCCCCAGATTTGCCTTCCCTGGCATTTGTCGCCCTCCCCCCAACCCTCACTCATGAAATCTGTAACCTTGCGCAAGTGATTTTAATAATGATAAGAGAGAGAATGCAGTTTACCTCATGACTGGGTTTAAACAAGGTGACTTACACTTACGTATTTAAGTCTCAGAAAGTAAAAGCCAAGGGAGAGCCAGGACTACAGGTCATCTAAACCTGCCCTATAAACACATAGATCCATTGTCTCCGCAGATAACTGGAAATAGAAACCCAGCAAATGGTTTTGTGTTTTAAGGGATAAGTAGATGTCCTATCCCTTTAGGATTTACAAGCCTCTGTCTGCTCTAATCACAGGCCCTTGTCAGTGGAAGGTAAACCATCAATGATCTCCCCTTGACTTCAAACCTTGGCTTTAAACCCACCTGGCACAGACAAAGGAGGGATTATGGTCAGCTCCCTAACTGGCTAGGACACCCTATCAGCAGTATCCTGGGAAGACTGTGTGCCCCAGGAGCCAGGTAGAGGCAGGGTGGCAGAGCATGCACACTGGGAATCAAGAGACCACAGTGGGAGCTAAGACCAGGCTATTGCAGCAACAACCCTCCTCCAACTAGGCACAAAAGAGCCCCCTATGCCCGCCCTACCTCCCGCCCTCACTTTTTCTTTCAGGCCTTTTCACACCAGCTCCCTGATTTTAAAAAGGACTCAATGGGAGGTAGAGACTGAGGAAAGCTGTACATTCTCTCAGCCAGTCACCCAAATGGCGGAAAAAAAACCTAAGAAGGAAGAGACAGTGTTCTACAGATTTCTTATTATTCTTAATACTGTTCTTCCAGCAAATGCACTAATTCCATTTTTCTCCTGGTGTTATACATTACCTTGTGTAATGTGTTAAGTGGACTACACTGAGCTGCACTGTTAGTACTTAGTCATGTTGGTGCCTAAGTGTTGCAGGAGGATGGATCCATCCTCCCATAAGGCTCTAAATTTACACATGGCCTGAGACAGGGGAACAGACACAGGGGTACTTGACAGAATTTGTTAGCTTCACAGGGAGGTGAGTGAGGACAAACTTCTCTAGGTGGTCAGTAGGCAGCTTCTGACATCCTATACTTCCAATGCACATCGTGCAAACTCAGCTTCTTTGCTCTGGCCATAACCCAAGGGTCTGAAAATCTTTGTACAGAAATGTTTTTCCCTCAAGATTTCATCAAACTAAAAATTGCTGTAGCCAGCAGTGACTCAGGATTTTCTTTCATTTACTAAGGCTATAGCGTTACTCATTAAAGCTCACAACTCAGCTTCTTAATTGCCTGTTTTTAGTCACCTCACAGCTATCTGTGCAAATATCCTGAGACATGCCCCCCATTGAGACTGCTTATCCCACTCCCATTCTTTACCTGCACCCTGCCTTTGTGACTCCTTTCTGCTCACAGAATGGCATTGAGAAAAACAGAGAGGAAAATAAATATGCTATCACTATCCCCTCTCCAAATTGGCAAAATGCCTTTTAAAGTGAAATAGCTCTGAAGAAATGGTTCATCTGCTATTTGGGATGATAAGCTAATGTGAATTATTTTATTCAACACTCACAACAGTCCTGTGGAATATGAATTCTTATTCACATGCCCAGTTTTCAGATGAAGAAAAGTGAGGCCTGGACAGGTTAATTGACATGATCTTGCAGCTAGTAAACCCAGGCTACCTGACCCCATGAGCTTCTGTCCTTGTTTTCAACCACCTCACTCACTGTTTCACCTCATCATGGCAAGGCTGGTCACCTATTACAGATGAACATGCATTCCCAGAACTATGAAAGCAAGATCATGGGACATAAAAGTGGCCAGAGATCAGGGACCATTTTCACTTCCTTAGCTCCGACCACCTGATAGAAACATCACTGACCAAAGTTGGGTCCAGGAGGTTGTCTGGCTCAGGGACTTATCCTCCCGGGAATCCATACGCCTAACCAGAACCTCTGAGCTCCTTGAGGCAAGGGCCAGTCCAGAGGATCAACAGGAGCAGCTTCCTCACTGATCAGCATTTCCGTAAAAGCTGATACGCACTGAATTTGGTAAACAAGACCTGGACGATATGTCACATTCAGATATTTTACTGTGAGTCACAAACTCTTGTCACTTTATACTACATAAAATAGGGTAGAACCTTTCCATAATCACTTAAAATGTCTTATTTTGTGTGGGCCATTTTTCCAGCTGCTTCCCATAGTAATCTGCACTCTTCTCAGCCAAGGAGTCCTGAACAGCTTCCCAGCCACAGATTTGGGGGAAAGGAAGAACCAGATTTGGAAGCTGCTTCCTCTCTGACTGCCTGCTGCTCTAGAAGCCCTCAAGGCCTCTGGGCCTAAATATCGCCACTCCACAAGGAAGCAAAAATGAAAGTCAACCAAAACAGCAACCAGAGGTCTAGCAAAATTCTTTCTTGTTCTTCATACAACTTTGACCACTGCCACAGTTTTGACCTATCTAGACCTTGAATCTAACTTCTAGATCTTCCCTATGCCCCCTTTCCTGGCTCAGCAATTTTGATTTTCTGATTCTTCCTATGGCAGAGACTATCCCATGGTATTAATCCAACTAACACCCTTGACCACCACCACCTTTCTGGCCTCCCAGGCTTCAGTGTCCCTGTGTCCACCCACTGTCCCTCCCAGAGTCACACAAGGCTCAGCAAACTCACCTGCCTGGTTCCACACAGACCATATCCCTTCAATTCAAAAAACTCAAATATGCACCATAGCTTGGGGATGAAACTCTCTTAGAATCATTTCTAGCCCCAAACTCAAGAATATCAACATTATTTCCTTTCTATTCCTTCAATGTTCAACAAAGATTTATCGAGCCCTTGCTAGGCACTGCTATGGCTAGGGACACAAAGGTGAAAAGATCTGATGCCTGCCTGAACCACTGCCAGGAAGTAAATGAAATGTCAGGTTTATGATTGATGTGGCCAATCCTTCAGCTTACTGTCTAGTGGGGAAGCTTTCTAATGGAATCATGAGGGTCTGCCTCTCATTCACCCACTTAAGTCTTCCAATAAAAAAGTAAACAAATTAGTGCGTATCAGATAGATAGGAGAGAGGCTGAAAGAACAAAAAGAGAAACAGAGGTGTACTCTGGGTAGGTGGTCTTCTGCTGAAAGCAGAGGCAGAGCCTCCTGGTTAGCCTCCTCCGGCAGCTGAGATCTTCAATCTGGACCCCTCACATACTGGACCAGTAGCCTTCTGGGGCATCCTGGCACAACACCTGCTCCTCATAAAGACCAAGGAAGCCACCAACTTTCAAAATACATGTCCTTTTGCAGAGCTGGACAGCACACCTGGGTTCTGAGGACAATACTAGCCCCTGGAAACTGCTGAACATTTCCTCAGTCCCCCACATGCTCCCCTACCCATGAACCAGATTTTTTTCCCACAGGATACAACAGTAGTTCATACATCTATAGTGCTCTTCACATGCCATGATTAGAGATTTAAACAGACTCTTCAACTCTGCTCAGTTCCCCTCAACTTGAAGGCTTATGTTCAGTCATCCCTCTCTGTTCTATATTCCTGGCCTACTTGTGGTGACAAAGCCTCATCAACAGAGGAGGCCAGTGGCCTCTGAACATCCTCCTTCACTGTAACCAAGCACATCAGTCAGCCCTCCCTCTGCACGTGGACCTGATACCAAAACCCAACTTCCCTGTTAATCTTTGGACATAAGTTGATACTTACTTTCTTGGTTCCTCTCAGAACTCACTTGTGGGAGATGCTAACCCAAAGCAGGTTATTATCAGTAGGAAAAGTCCAGGCATTTAGCCTTGTTGTTCAAGTTTCTTAAGCCTTAAATCTTTTCTATTCATAATAAACAGCAGCAACATGGATCAATTTAAAACTCACCGGTTGGACATGAGGTTCACAGAGAAGAAAACCGATTCCCCTCCCCAACTTCCCAACACACACATGCATGCTTTGTTTTACTCCTCATAAAACATAGGGAATGACATTTTTTATTTGTGAGGCAGTTGTATTTATAAGATTTTCCTTGGGATCAAATCCAAATAAAGCTCTAGGTGGAAGAGCACACCAGTTTAAGTGTTTTGCATTTGCCATACTCCACAATCTTTTCTCCAGTTTTCATGTGGCATTTGATGATCACTGCCTGTGAGCTTCTTTCTGGGCTCTTCCTCTTTTATTGGACTTCCCTAGAGATCACTAAAATGTTCCATATTTCCTGGGCTGGGAATGAAGCCCTGAGAAAAGTGAGGCACAAACCACATGTAAGTAAAATAGAAAATCAAGGTCACTGGGAAATCTTGCAGTCATGTCAAGTTGTCAGAGTCAGCTGTGACAAAGGAAGCCAGGTGGACACAGAAAGAAAACATCCATGTGCACTCATGCACACACAAGCCTATGAAATATTCCATTTCTTGAATGCAAATTACAATGTCCAGACACTTGAAATTTTACAGATGTTAAGACAAATTTGAAAGGCCATAGAACAAAGTTGCTTGTATTTTGTTTTTCTTTAATGGGAAACATTTGCTCTTCTGGCTTTATGAGGATAAACAATGTGTTCTGATTTTTAAACCATCATCCTCAGTATCAATAAACACAGCCTGGTGACCACTGGGGACTACCCTTTCAAGGTGCCAGCACATGGCCTTCTTGCCCAAGAAAGGTCTTCTTAATGCAGTAGAATAAAGCTTGAAACCTACAGAATATCCAAGATTCCAAAGTGGACAAAGCAATGAAATATTAATTAACATTAATTAGTGGGTATTAATTAAGTAGCTGAATCTCAAAGGAATGGGGACACACCCAACACGGGGAGTTGAGGTGAGTCAAAGGACCCACCTGCCCAGAGGACTCCCTCTCTGCCTTGCCACTGCCCTTAACAGTCCCACCATTAGAGTCACTCCCAAAAGCACACATTCTTGTGGCTAAAAGACACATAAAACACCACCATTTTAATCACTTCTTCCAGATAAATCTTTATTTCCAGAAAGTCCTTATCAAAATGCATATGTGAATACATTAACATCTGAGAATAGTTGAATCATTGGCATAGATATACTTCACCTTGAAAAGCACATAACAGACCCATTTATGGAGAAGAGGAAATGTGGGAAAGCTCCACATGGATGCTGGGGAGCCCTGTTTCCTTCTGCCAAGGATTCTATGAAGACTCTTCCAACCTCTCCTCCTATAAGAGTTGCCTGATTTATCTAATTGTCAGGAGAGCAAGAAAGGAATTAGTGTTGGAAATGCAGAACTATGGCCTAATACCCTGTCCTTTCTCAATGCTCAGTGGCTATGAGTAGCACGTGGCTATCCTGGTAGTGGTTAAATGAGGGTCGACCCCAATCACCCCACCAGGGAAGCCCAGACAGGCCCAGAGGACAGGTGTTAGGGAGTCTCATTTTGCTTGGTCTAGCTCTGCCATCACCAAAGCTGCAATTTTAATCCCTGCCTGGGGCCTGTCATCTGTTTCTCACTTGGTTCCAAATTCAGAGGTCAATCGCATTAAGACTTAAGGGGCTCTTTAATGCCTATGGTGCCGTCCCTGTGGGAAGCCACTGGGAAGAGACCAAGATCAGCTAAAAGGTAGTAAGAGAATATTGAGTGCGAAGAAATAAGCGTGAAGGCACCTTCGTGACCTGAAGCCAGTCCTGGATACACACTTACAGTTTTATCTTTCCCAGCTTCCAGCAGAGCATCCAGGCTGCAAGTTGGTCTCAGAGCCCACTCAAAGGTCAGTTGCTCAACCCAGCTGATGGCGGCAGCTATAGATTGTTCCATCACAGGAGCAGCATTTTCCTGCCACTTCACAGGCTCTTGAGAGGCCCTGAAAGGAATTGTATGGGGCTGTCATTGGGCAGTGGTTAACACAGCTGTCAGCCCTCAGTCTCACAGCTATGGGCAGTAAGCCACTTAATTTCACCAGCACTGGAAGAAAGAAAAAGCAGCTCCCAGCCCTCTGAAAGTTACCAACAAAACTATTGGTTGTGAGACAGGTTTCCTAAGCACCATTACCTTCCATCAGCTGGATATGGGAAAACAATGTTTACAGAATAGAAAATTTCAAACATTATAAAGTGCATTAAAATTATAGAGGGAAGTTATTTTCATAAAGTCAAATATATATGTAACTGTCTTCTATTACTAGTAAATTTATAAGAATTCACAGCATTAATATTTGCAAATCAGCAATAATTTATTATCTAAAATTTTACTTCTAGTTCTTTTATTACATTGTTATCATTATTCTGAAAGATTCCCACTAGTGACATTTTGGGATCAAAAATAGTATTGTTCTGCCCTGGATAGGTGGCTCAGTTGGTTGGAGTGTTGTCCCATGCACCAAAAGGTTTCAGGTTTGATCCCTTATCAGGGCATATACAGGAGGCAGCTGATCAATGTTTCTCTCTCACATCCATGTTTCTCTATCTCCAACCACCCCCACATCCTGCCTCCTCTCTCTAAAATCAATAACCATATCCTTGGATGACGATTAAAAATATATTATAAAAATGAAAACAGCTAACACAATAATAGCTGTCTGGTATGAATGGATCAAAATTATACCTATATTTTGTCAGATCGGCCAAAAACATATTTTTAGTTGTGCTGCAGAATTTTAGTAATTAGTTTATCTATGCCATCAGAAAAAAAGGTTGAAAATTGCTGGACTAAATGCATCATCCTGAGTTGTTTCTCAGAGCCTATCTCCAGAGACAGAGGCTGCCTCACACGTGTGTTCCTCTAGGTAGAGAATCTTGGCCAAGGGGCATATATGCTATAGCACATATTTCCAAGAAAGCTAAAGCATTGTAAACTTAAGCACTTAGTTCCTTCAATAATATATCTGTAACAGAAACAGGAACATAGAGTAGAACGCAAATAGGCAGTATCCCCAAAGATGTCATCTATTTAGCTGAAAATAATTTATTTTTAAAAAGAAAAACAGGAAGATGTCCCTCTGCCAGATGTTTCTTGTCAAGCATATGAGCCAATTTCCACACGGGAAGTTGGCCCTGCAGTCCAAATCCTCTCAAACCCAAGAACCCATAAATGATTGATTGTGAAAACTCCAAAATATGGGAAATTCTATAAAGCCACATGATGAACTTATGGGGAGATCAACTTGAGCTGCAGGCTCAGTGTGAAAAGTGAAACCTAGAGAATCAAAATGGTAGAGGAGTGAGTGGAAGTCACACTGATTTCACCCCAGGACCAACCTGGAATTACAACTAAATTGTGGAGAAATCACCTGGAATAAACAACTGAACAATAGTGAGTGAGGAGCCTTATAACCTTGGACAGACAGAAGAATCAGCTTTAGTACAACCTCACTGGTAAGGAGTGTGGTAGAGACTCGAGAAGGCAGGTGGGGCGTCCACAGGTGGCAGCACAAGAAGGATATTGAAACAGCCAGTTGGATACCCCTGAGAAGAATGGGGTCTTAACCATAAGTGGGGATCACCAGCCTATAGCACCAGAGCCCAAAAAGTACAAAGATAACAGCCAGCAGCAAAAAATGGCAGGGTTACTCTCTGCCAGAGAGAGGTGGCTAGAGATTCAAAGAGCTCTTTAAAGAGCCACTGCATACATTTGTATTTGCAGCCACTCACCCAGGGGTTTGGAAAAGGTTGGAGCAGAGTGGGCAAGAGATACCTGAGGAGAGACTGAAGAAGGAGGCTTTGGGGAGAGAACTGAGAGAGTAGCCAGTGGGATCCCAGTGCTGACTCATCCCCCAAACGGCAGTAGCCATCTTGCTCAGGCAGACCACTCCCCTGACTTGCAGCAACTTGAGAGGACACAATAGCCCTACCTCCCAGGAGGGACTCTGCCCGCCCTGTGGTGTCTCTAAGCCAGCCTACAGAGTGCAGAGTGGCAGCCACAGACAATAGATCCCTGGCAAAAGTGGGCGCAGAGTGGTCTAGAGACACTTGAGGAGAGACTGAAAATGGAGGCTTTGGGGAGAGAACAGAGAGAGTAGCCAGTGGGATCCTGGTGCTGACTCCTCCCCCATAAAGAAGCAACTATCTGGCTCAGGCAGACCACTCCCATGAATGGTAGCCCCATGAGAGAACCCAATAACCCCACCCCCAGGAGGGACTCTACCCGATCCTGTGGTGCCTCTAAGCCAGTCTGCTGAGTGCAGAGTGACTAGATTAACAGCTGAAGGAGACAGCCACAGACAGTAAATTCCTGGAAGTCTCGAACAGACTGCCTAAGGTCAGAGAGGGTCAACATCTGACATCATCAGAGACAAATCCAGAAAGGAAAAAACAGCAGTCTCCTACCATAGAAGTTCACACCACAAAGTCAGGAAATCAAGACAGCTCAATTTAAGGAGCAGAAGCAAAAGAGTAGAGTCTCACAAATAATGGGAAGACAAAGAAACACCCCCCAATTGAAGGGAAAGGAGCGATCCTCAGAAAGAGAACTAAATGAAATAGAGGCAATTAAACCATCAAATATTGAGTTCCAAACAACAGCTGAAGGAAGCTCAATGAGCTCAGTCAGCTCAGAGAGAATTACCAAAAACGGCAGGGAAACTATGAGGAATTTACTGAAAACTATACCAGCATGAAAAAAGACATAGAAACTATCAATAAGAGACAAGAGCAAATGAAGAATACAATTTCTAAATTGAAGAACACAGTAGAAGGAATCAAAAGCAGGCTAGATGAAGCTGAGGACTGAATCAACGAGCTGGAGGACAAGGTAGAAAAAAGCTCCCAGAAAGAGCAAGAAAATGAAAAAAGGCTCAAAAAGAATGAAGAGGCATTTAGGAAAATCCAGGACAACCTGAAACATAATCATATCTGTATAACAGGGATACAAGAAGGAGAAGAAGAGGAGCAAGGGATAGAGAACCTGTTTGAAAAAGTAATGATGGAAAACTTCCCTCATTGGAGGAGAGGAAAAGCCACACAAGTCCAGGAAGCACAGAAGGTCCCATTCAAGAGGAACCCAATGAGGCCCACTATAAGACACATCATCATTAAAATGGCAAATATCAAAGACAGAGAATCCTAAAGCAAGCAAGGGAGAAAGAGGTAGTAATGTATAAGGGAGCCCCGATACGGCTAACAGCTGACTCTCAGCAGAAACACTAGAAGCCAGAAGGGAATGGCAAGAAATAGTCCAAGTCATGCAAAGCAAAGGTCTGCAACCAAGGCTGCTCTACCAAGAAAGGTTCTAAATGAAAATAGAATGTGAAATAAGGATTTTCCCAGACAAAAGAAGGCTAAAAGAATACACCTCCACCAAACCAGCATTGCAAGACATGCTACAGGAACTGCTTTAAGAAGATGAAGAAAAAGAGTCTATGAATACCCAGTTCCTTTCACAGTCACCAATACTTGATATTACCAGTATCTTTCATACTCATTAATCTGATTGTGACAATGATGTGTTATTTTAATTGTTGTTATTTTATTGTTTGTGGAAACTAAATGTGTTTTTGTATATTTCTTGCCTATTTTTATTATTTTTAAAAAGCTTTAAATGACTTTTTGGTATTCTTTATCCATTTTTGGACTAAATGTTTGTAGAATTGTTGCCCTAAAAAACAAGAAAAACTATTAACCTTTCTTTAGATGTGTTGCAAATATTTTCCTATTCTATTACCTGTCCTTTAACTTTTTTATATGTGTATTACTGTATAGTCTGACATGTTTAATATAGTCATAATCTTACTTTATAGTTTCTGGGTTTGAATATGTTACTTCAGGGTAAGAAAAATATTTTTTTGTATTTTCTCTGTAAACTCCTTAGATTTTACATACCGATTTTTAATTCACATGGGTATTTGTTGTATAATGTGTGAAATAGAGCTCTATATTTGTTTTATTTCAAGTAATAGTGGTCCATGCACCTTATTTGTTGAATAAGCCTTATTTTCCCCATTGATTTGAAATATCAATTTAATCATATAATACACTGTTAGATATATATATTTGTTTCTAGAAGGCTCATTTTATTTCATTGATCCATTTGATTATTTCTGTGCTAGGGTCACGTTTTAATTGAAAAGACTTTATAATAGATTTAAATTTTTTAATATTTTATAATGGATCTTGATATGTAAAAAAATAAATAAAATCAATCTGAATTAAGAAAGAAAGAAAGAAAGGGAGAACTACTTTTTGCAACAACATATATGGAACTGGAGAATATTATGCTAAGTGAAATAAGCCAGTAGGTGAAAGACAAATACCATATGATCTCACCTATAAGTGGAATCTATTCAACAAAATAAATTAACGAACAAAATAAACCACAGGCAAGGAAACAAGGAGCAGAATGAAAGTGACCAGAGGGGATGGGGAAGGAGGACAATGGTGGAAAGAAGGAGAAGGGACTAAAAAAGGACATGTATGAATGACCCGTGGACATGGACAAGAGAGTGGGAATTGACTGTGGGAGTGGGGGTCGAGGATGGGTGGAGGAGGGCAAAGGGGGAAAAACTGAGACAACTATAATAGAATAAACATGATTTAAAAATTAAAAAATATAAGATAAGAAAACCAGTGAAATATATGAGGAATGTGAATTTATTATCCAAGCTAAAATCTAAAATGAGTGAACAGATGTTTATGGCTTTAAATATACATTCAATATAATCATATTTTTATATTTTTAACCTTGCCTTGCATTGAAAAAAAAGTGTGTTTCCAAATCTCTTCTAATTTGAAAACTAATGCTATGTGCAAAGCAGATAAAAGTTTTCTAAGATTTATTCATTGTGGGTTCTCTGCTGGAATTCTATATCCTAGGAAATTGCAAGATAACAATCCCTCCATAGAGCTATGTTAGTTATGCTACTTAACTCCAAATAAATGTAAGTTACCTACGAAGTTTCACTGAGACATCCTGTTCCTATGGGAAACTCACCATATGATATTAAACTTGGCTATGTGAGCCACCTGCTCCTGGAGGACCATTTTCAGAGCATCTTGGCACAGATTAAGCTCCTCTTTCCACATGCCACCAAAATCCAGCACAATGGTGATGCACTGCTCCAAGATGACACCAAAAATCTGCCGGCTTCTGCTGGTGAGCCAGTCCATCCGCTGCTTATAGCTCTCCACAGCTTGTGTTAAATGTTCCACAAATTGACAGATCAGTTCTGACTTGGCTATCAGCTTTATGAAATAAAGAAAAAAAATAAAACAAATCAAAACAGAAGTACACCAAAATAAGTTATCTTGAACCACAGTGCCAGGAACAACAGGGCCCACTGAGTCAAGGCCTCTGCCATCAGGAACTGTGCATTAATAACAATTTTGTAGATGATCCTCCAAACCCCACATAATCCAAAAAAGAAGTGTCTAGTCTTTCAACTGAAAACCGCTTGCTAATTCCCCATAGGAGAAAAGATGATTATGTGTTCTATTCAAAACAGAGCATTCTTTAAAACAATCTATTCCTAGATCATGTTTTATCTTTACCGTTAGAGAATTATCTTTATCAGAAAGTGTCCAGGGAAAATTTTAAGAAATTGAGGGGAAAAAAAGAAAGATACACAGAGGCAGATAGAAAAAAATAAGCCTCTAAAAAGTTTTCCTACCTACAACATACCAAAAATATTTCTGAAAATGCTTCTAAACATGCCAGCACATCTGCCTGGTTTCCTCTAATGATGCTGCCCCAGTGACTCATCCTCCTGCTCATGATCTTATCCTGTGTCTTCTGACTCCCAGTCCAGGCTCCCCTGTATCTGGATCACCTGATTACCTATAGCTGCCACAAACCTTTGTAGAGTCTGTCATTCAAAGGTGACAGAGGCTTGCGAGCAATTTCTGGTATACAGAAATATAGTACCATTCAGATAGATCAGGCACAACTGTGCAAGGTCTTTCAGGGTATAGGGTAGTAGGAGGCATAGAAATTGTATAAGGTCTTTTAGGGTATTGGGTAGTAGGAGACATAGAAAAGGAGTAAGGAAAAGTGTACTCTATTCTAAAATGTGAAGAATCAACATTTTAAAGATCAGGTACTTTTTATAAACCTCAAAAACCCTTAGAATACCCCAAATACCTAAATTGTTAAGGAAAATGTGTTTTCTGAACACACCATGTAATTCCACATTTTCATGCCTTGTTTCATGCTGTCCCCTTTGTGTTAAACTTCTTTCCATCCCCATATTCTTCGCAACTGAGCTCCAGCATCAGTGGAAGCAGTGTGAGACTCTCTGAGCTGGCCACTCACAGACCTCTGCAGTGCACCCCATAAAGGTATGGGAACTCCCACTTACATTGTATGCTGTGCCATCTTCTGCTCTGCATACCCGTGGAAACAGGCCTTCGGCATACCGGGAGGCCACAAGTCTTCCCAGAGAAGCCACATAATCTGCATTTTTACAAAAAACAACAATCAAAATGGTGTTATCAGTGCTTCTTATTTTATTTCAAAATGCTTTTCTCTGGTACCATTCAAATTACATCCCCAGTGACAGCAACACTGTGATGTTTTGTATTCTGATCCAAATAATAAAGTACTTCTAGGTGCTATGATAAATATAACTGTTTATGACATGAATAATACTTTAATATATGAATGAATGAGGAGGAAAACAAGGTTCGCCTCTTGGTTTCCTGGTTCTTTTGTCCAGTATGATTAAATCAGAGGTCAACAAAAAAGCACAGACTTTGTGTTTAATTACTGAAAACTTTTAGTCAGGACTTGAATTTATTTGCAGAATTTTAAAAGTTAAACTTAGATGTTTTCTATTGCTCTCTCAAGTGGGGGTTAATGAATAGATGAGTGAATGAAGCAAGAAGGTAACAGATTCAGAATACTCACACATAATGTCAGAATCACATGATTTTTCTCAGATCATGTGCTCAACTATTCAACACCTTTTGCACAAACACATATTGAGTACCCACCACATGATATGCACAGTGCTTACAGAATGTGAATACAATAGTCCCTAAAACTTTTATTCCTTTATATAACAGAAGACTACAGAAAGGATTCAACGACTAACTCTGACTTGGCAGGACAGAAGATGAGGCAAAGCTTCCCACAGATGTTCTTACTGTGATTATTATGTTATTGTTGCTATTGTTATTAAGTCCCAAAGATGGAAGAGGGAATGGTAGTACTCTTGGATCCAGTATGTCCATTCTCTGCCTTTATAGGGAGGCAGGATAACAGCTTACTCTGGAAAGACAGGAAGGGCATGATTGAATTATAATTTACATGACTTGAAGTTCAATGTTCATAATAGCAGAGTAAAGAATGGGTTCTTGAATTCCATCAGCAATAATCTCACTCATGTGGATGAAAACAGGGCCACATACTAAAGCTACCTGGCTCAGGTGAGGCCTGCATGGTGGTCTCACAAACTCAGAGACCAAGAGTAACTGCATAGGATGGTCTGGAATTAAAACTTCCTAACTAAAAGCAAGTTGTGGTAAGTAGTCAAGTCCTAGGCCAGTATCTTCCTTGACAAAGGTCAATCTTTGCCTTAACTAAGACTATTGTCTTTTTGCATCCAAGATAACAGGTTCTTTTTTCCAGACCCCTCAGGGCACAATCTCCCAGCAGGGTAGAGACCATGGAAGCTCTCATTGTTATGTTATTGCCAAAATTCTACCTCTATGTGCTATTGATATTATTAACTAACCTATACCCACCAATGTAAAAGAAGTGGCTCTGTTTTATTTTTTATCTAATCTCAGAAATTTCTCATTTTGCTTTTTCTTGCCTCCCTAATCTACCATGCTTTATATCTTCTCCTTTATATATAATTGTAATATATAAAATAAGCTGTATACCTGGCCATTCTCTGGAGCATTTTCTCAATCTGTTGAGATTTTGCTTCCAGGAAACTATTGTCAGTTTCACTCAAATAAACAAAAATTCTCTACAGGTTTGGATATTTCTTACACTATTGACAATCAAATGTCAAAAACTCCTTTTCTTTGTTTAATTTATATTTTAATGATTATGCTATTACAATTGTCCCAATTTTCCCCCTTTTTCCCCCTCCACTGAGCACCACCTACTCCCTCAGGCAATCCCCACACAATTGTTCTTGTCCATGGGTCATGTGTATAAATTCTTTGGCCACTCCATTTTCTACCCTGTACTTTACATCCCTATGGCTATTCTGTAACTACCTATTTGACTAAATCTCCTTACCTCTACACCCAATTCCCCCATGCACCCTTCCCATCTGGCAACCACCAAAATGCTCTCCATACCATGATTCTGTCTGTTCTTCTTGTTTGCCTAGTTTGTTTTTTTTAAATTCAATTGTTGATAGATACATATTTTTTCCATTTTATTGTTCATAGTTTTGATCTTTTTCTTACATAAGTCCCTTTAACATTTCACATAATAATGGTTTGGTGACGATGAACTCCTTTAGTTTTTCTTTATATGGGAAGCTCTTTACCTACCCTTTGATTCTAAATGGTAGCTTTGCTGGGTAGAGCAATCTTAGTCATAGGTCCCTGCTTTTCCTGACTTTGAATATTTCTTGCCAATTCCTTCTAGCCTGAAAAGTTTAAGAAGTCAGCTGACAGACTTATGGGAATTCACCTTTAGATAAATAACTGCTTTTCTCTTGCTGCTTTTAAGATTCTCTCTTTATCTTTAAACTTTGGCATTGTAATTATGATGAATCTTGAACTGAGCCTCTTTACATCCCTCTTGTTTGAGACTCTCTGTGCTTCCTGGACTTGCATGTCTATTTCCTTCATGAAATTAGGGAAGTTTTCTTTCATTATTTTTTCAAATAGAGTTCTTGCTCTTTTTCTTCTCCTTCTGGCACAGGTATGATGCAAATGTTGAAAAGCTTGAAGTTATCCTGGAAGCTGATTACATATCCTCATTCTTTTGGATTCTTTTTTCTTTTTGTTATTCGGATTGGTTATTTTTTGCCTCCTTATATTCCAAATCATTGATTTCATTCTCAGCTTTATTCACTCTACTGTTGTTTCCCTGTAAATTCTTCTTTATTTCAATTAGTGTATCCTTCATTTCTGACTGGCTCTCTTTTATGCTGTTGAGGTCCTCACTAAGTTCCTTGAGCATCCTTATAATCAGTGTTTTGAATTCTGTGTCTGATAGATTGCTTATCTCCATTTTGTTTAGTTCTTTTTCTGCAGTTTTGATCTGTTCTTTCATTTGGACCATCTTTCTTTGTCTCCTCAGTTTGGCAGTGTCCCTTGTTTCTATGTATTAGGTAGAGCTGCTATGATTCCCTGACTTGGTAGCATGGCCTAATATAGCAGGCATCCTATAGGGTCCAGTGGCATGGCCTCCCCTATCATCCAAGCTGGATACTTGAGGTGTACCTTCCTTGTGGGCTGAATACACCCTCCTCTTGTAGTTGAGCCTTGATCGCTGTTGGCAAATCAATGGGAAAGATTTACCCATACCAGTCAGTTGGAAGGACTGGTTGTGACCACTGACCACCAACCTCCATCCTCTGTGGAGGATCAGCTGTGCAGGGCCATGGTGGTGATGTTCCAACACTGTCTGTAGCTATCCACTGGGTTTTCAGGCTCTGGGATTTCCCTGATGCTGCAGGCCAAGGTCAGTCCCCACCTGTGTTTTGCCCAGGCCACCCTGCATGAGCTATCAAGCCAACTGCAGGTGGCTGCTGGTTGTGCTGGGCTTAGAGATTTCCAGGTGAAGCCAAACTGTGATCCAAAGCTGTCTGCTGCCAGGCCTGGGGCCACATAACAAGAGGTACAGGGGCCAGGGGCTCACTGAGGCTGGCTGTTGCTTGTTTGAGAGTATTTATGAAGTTGTTAAGCATGAGCCAAGAGAGTATTTATGAAGTTGTGATGCATGAGAGTATTTATGAAGCATGAAGCACAGTCATTCATATGGAAAAGCCACTGTTAAACAGCTTGGGTCAGCCCATAAGTTGGGTGGGATAGAGCCCCAGGGGATCTCCATGGTAGGGCAAACAGTGTTAGCCAGGTTGATGGAGTTTCAGATATCGCACCCACCTGCCACTCTGTGGTTCTGTGGGAGAAGGGTTCAGAAAAGGGACAATGGCCTCTGCCCTACTTTCTGTCTGAGAAAAAGTTGTCCCCCAGCTCTCATCCTGATGCCAGATATTTCAGTTCCTCCCTGCATACTACTAGTGCCTTTCAAGCTGCTACCCCAATGCTGGAGCTCAGAGGGAGTGAGTCTGAGTAAGTCCGTGGGTGGGTTCTTTAAGAACTGCTTGGGACCGACTCAAGAAGTTTCTTCCACCAACTTAATCCCCGCTAGTTTTTGCAGCCAGAAGTTATGGGGACTTATCTTCCTGGTACTAGAATCCTGGGCCAGGTGGTCTGGTATGGAGCTGGGACTTCTCACTCCCGTGATATCCCTTCCAAATTTTTATCCACCACATGTGGTTGTGGGACCAGCCCCTTCTACCATCTCCACCCCTCCTACCAATTTTGATGGATATGGTTTCTTTAATTCCATAGTTGTAAGACTTCCATTCTATTTGATTTCTGATGGTTCTGAGTGATGGTTGTTCTATAGTTTAGTTGTAAATTTTATGTGGTTGTGTGAGGAAGTGAATCATGTTTATCTATGCTGCATCTTCTAGTTTTAACTTTCAAGAGGGTAAATATCAATAGATATAAAATACATAAATTCTTATAAATATTAGAGATTAAAAAGGAGGACATGATATGAAAGTATATAAAGAAGATATAATGAATTGAATATAGAAATGTCAGAGTAAAACAGTGACATACTAGTAGTAGGTAATCAATTGTAATGAAAATGATTTTCCGATCAAAAATCATGGAGGCAGAAGGAGGTGGCATAATGTTTTTAAAGTGCTAAAAGAAAATAGAATCATAGATATGGAGGTCATTTGGAGATTTATCAGCTCGGAGGATAAAGGGACCGAATAGGGGAAAAGGCGTAGGGATTTAGAAGCATAAGTGGGTAGGTACAGAATAGACAGGGGGATGATAAGAACAGTATAAGCAATGGAGAAGCCAGAGAACTTACATGCACAATTCATGGACATGAACTAAGAGTGGTGGGAGGTCACTGGTGGAAAGGGGGGAACTGGGTAAAGGAGAACAAAGGGAAAAAAACTGGGACAACTGTAATAGCATAATCAATAAAAGAAAAAAAAACTGGCAATCCCAAATTTTACATATGGAGAGACAATTCTTTGGGAATCATCATGAAATAAAGATATTGTCACACAGGAAACTAAAAAGATTTGTTGCCAGCAGAGCTACTTTTGAAGATGAATAAAGAAAGTTCTATAAACACAAAGGAAGTAATAAAAGAAGGAGCTTGAAACATAGTGAGCACAAATATGGGTAAGTACAATAGCCTTTCTCAAGTTTGTTAAATGATGTTTGATT